CTCCCATTTGATGGCTTTAAAAACTAGTTCCCTCAATAGGATGCTATATTTATGTTGTTGTTGTTATTATTATTATTATTATTATTATTATTATTATTATTATTATTGTTTTGGCATCTGCAGTAATTGAAAAGCTGAAAAACTCCAACCTGCAAGACTTAGTTCTTCAGCTTTGGTTTTCGATTTACTTCGGAAATAGTGGGGCTAATTGCAGGCGTTTCTCCTTCCTTTTAAGGAGGGCAAGGGATTGAACAATTAACAGCTGAAACAGGAATCTCAAATCACACACAATGAAAAAAATAATAATTTAAAAAGAAAAAGAAAAGGGAAAAGGTCTTTGCAGCTGTGACGTTATCCTGCTGGTGTCTTGCAAGACATCCCGGGTGGATTGAAGGTACTAGGGACATCATGATAAAACCCGGAGGATTTGTCAATTAATACGCCCTTTCCTGTTGAAATCTGTTGAGCTTTGCTACCAGAAATGCACTTGCTTTAATTACTGCTGGATTAGAATAAACCAGATCCACCATATTGTTTCTGTATAGCATTTTGCTCTATGCATATCATATTCTGTTATTCTTCCAAGCGATCTGTCTGCTTGCATTAAAGTTAACAAATAGGAACGTGCATTTTGCTTGGCACGGGGCTGTTTCCATTGAAATGCAAGACAGTTACCCTGGAGTAAGGGATTCATTTAAGCTAATCGTTGGGAATAATGAAGGATTTTTTAATAAATGATCCCCATATTTGAATTGGTAGTAAAAGTGCAGAATTAAAGATTTGATTTTTTTTTCTGCCATTGTAAGAGCTTAAAATATTTGCACAGTTCTCAGAGTTTTAACAATGCTTATGTGGCTGTCCATGTTTCGTAGCTTCTGGAAGGCGCTCAAGACGTGGCTTAGCACTAGATCCAAAGCAATCTAGGAAGGATGAACACAGCATTTGCCATTCACGGGTACAAATATCAAGAAACCCCTTCAAATAACTACAAGGGGTGGGAGTTTCAGGACAGATGGTCTCTCTGTAGCTGTGTGTTCCTTAACAGCGAGATTCTACCCAAATTTAGGCAGCAGTCGGGCTCACAAATTTGGGCACGCTCGCTTCCGGAGGGTGAAATTCCAGAAGCACGAGTTTTCCCCGGAGAAAGCAACCAGGATAACATTTTGGAGCACTGCAGTGCTGCAGCCCTCCCAATATAGAACGTTTTTTCCTCAGGGCCCGCACCTGCAATAAAACCGTTATATGAGGATCAGCTTTTGCTCTTGACATCTCAATCCCGCGGTTGCAGGGAGAAGTTTGGAAACGCGTTGCGCTGCCGGAGGTGTTTTCTGCTGGAGACGCTTGTTTTGCTCTGTGTTATTCCGACTGTCCCGCGTTCCGGGGCTCGCTCGCTGCAGCAGCCTTAGTCAATCTCCTCAGTTTCCTCTTGGAAATTGCTCTATTTCTGTCAAACAGCTTCAGAGCCGCTTACAGTTAAACTACGAAGCTGAGGCGAAGGGGACAGGGCAGGGGGATTTGCTGGAAATGCAGCAAATGGGAAAACGTGGCCCCATTTGTGGGCGCCCAGCAGCTGGAAACCTGGCCCTGGGCATCGGCCTTTCCGATTCCTGCGCAGGTGCCGCGGGGACCCAAACTCCTTTACTTCCAACCGTATCTCCCACAAAGTGCCACCAAGTTTGTACTGTGCTCAAGAAAGCGCTTGCTAAAAATATTCTTTCTTTCGAGGGTGTAATTGAAACGGTTTCACACAAAGAGCGCAGAGCCCGGCCTTTTCGCTGCACCACGGTCGTTTACAAAATAAGTTTGTTTAGTTTAGCATCCACCGCAGGGAATACCTTTAAAAACCTGCAAATATTCGCTTCTATATGAGCAAAAGCAGTGAATTTCCTTCAGCTGTGTTTGCTTTTTTGAAAGCATTCCAGTCCATTAGATTAGTAGCTAGAAATGTTTATGGAAAGAATTTTAAGCCTGTTTCAGAGGGTATTCACGGAAAGCAAAATTTTATCTCAAAAACCCCGTCATCTTATGGAGTGTTAATTTATGTTCCTTGACTGAGGGATTGCAGCGGGGTATTTTATGAGTGATTTCTTCGGGTCGTGCATCTCTCCTGTTTCTCCAGCCTGCTCCCCTTTTCTGCCTGCTGCTTCCCGCTGTGCCAGGGCTGGAAAAATTCACGTTTTATTTGTTCCCTTCACACCTTCTGCGTTGCCCTCGGAACAGAGGGCTCCTTTCTTGAGTACCAGTGAAAGCAAACCGCTATCACAAAGCAAACGCGGGGCCCTGGAACATAAAACCACTCCCTGCAATATTTAAATTCCTCTGAAAACCATCCCCTGCCATATGTCTATAAACACCGTCCAGCTGCAACACGATTGCACAGTCTTGGAGACCATCCGAATTTAACAGAGATAAAACGATATTGCGGATGGAGATAACATAAATGGCTATTTTAAACGTTTTTCCTTGTGTGGTTGAAAACGTTCAGAGATGGATTTTTAGAGTTAATTTTTGCGGTGCTGCAGACATCATTAACAGCTCGGCCTCACATTCACAATCCCTCTGCTTAGCCAGGGACAGAGAGACACGTTGCAGAGCTCCCTCCTCCAGGAAACAGCCCCTGCTCCGATGGAAGTCAGGCAATTTCCCCGAATACCCCTTTCCACGTGTATCCGTGGGCTGCTGACTCGAGGCTTTGCTCGTCCTCGTGCACTCAGAGCCATCAGTATCCTCAAACACCGACCTTGCAGCTCGTTTGAAAACACGTTGACCTCCAGCATTTTGTAAACACTTCCAGTGCTAAAACACTCTTTTTGCCTAGTTCATAAACGTTTCCGATCCAGCACACCAAAGCATATCGAGTCGCTTTGATTATTCCATTAACACGAACCATATGATGCTTTTTAATATTAAAATACAACAGTGAACGCTTCATTCTTAAGCCCAACGCCCAACTGCTGTTTAAATATTTTGGTACATTTCTTTTGTTTTAGAAACTAAGCAGTTTTTATATGGGCCTCCTAAGGGCCTAGCTGGCGATGTCTGCAAACGTGCACAGCGCTGGTGTTCCCAGCAACACCTCGGAACTGCCGGCTCCGGCACCCGGCTGCAACACATCTGGGGCAGAGGCTTCAAAACAGAAAAGCAGAAGGGGGAAATCACCAGAAATCTGCTAAATAACAGCAAACTGCACGTGCTTCCTCTGGCCGACGTCGGGGCCCGGAACAGCGATGCTTTTGTGTGCTCCGGGAGGCCGAGGTTGCGTTTTGGAAGACGCCCGTTGACAAATTTGCAAACGCAAAAGTTTAGGAAAACCATGAACTTCATGTGGACCAGTAAACAAGCAAACTTCAGGGGTAAATCAGTGAAATAATGAGTAAAAAATGACTCCGAAAACTGGCAAACAGCCATTATTGTGAGCTGAGACTACCAATTCCTTGCACATGTTTATGCGCAGAAAGCGGGACGTAAATGAAAATGTTTTGGACATGTGTCAGGCTGGCAAAGCCCCTTTTTTATTTTAATTATGTGACAGGAAGGTCGAGGCTTCGGTGGAGGGATAATTTTCTTCGGCAGTTTATGAACTTACCTCTCCATAACTAAAGGTGGAGAATTAAGCAGGGTTTTTCTGCGCAGGTTGTTGCTTCTGATACTGCCTTAACAGCGCTTCCAATGTGCCCCCAAATACTAGGGACTTATCCCAAGTGCCGAGTGAGCCCGGGTGGGATGAGGGCACCTCTGGGTTGAGGG